GATAGCCCTACAAAAGATAATATAGAGATAATATAGAGTGATAATCTCTAAAAAATTAAATACCTCCCACACAGAACAAAACATCCATTGGATGTCCATAGATTATCCATAGCTCCACCAGACATCCATCTCCACGGTGGACGATAAGTGGATTTCTAATGGACATCCATAATTTATCGATGAGAGATATCCATAGAACATCCATATAATATCCATATAACATCCATCGTGGATGTCTATTGTACATTATGGATGTGCAATAGATTTTCACGTTTAATTTTTTATTGAATTTTAGTACGATCTCTATTGCATTATAACTTTCCAAGTAGAACATAAGAATCAAAATTATATTAATTTGACGTCATTTTGACCAAACATTGAACAAATTTATGTCAATTATCAGCAAAAAACAAAAATTAAATTAATATAATTTTTATTATTATGTTTTACTTGGGCTATTCCTAACAACACAAAAGTTTAATTTATTCTGAAATATCCCTCAGAAAAATTTATTATAATGAATATTTTGGAAAATATTATTGAGATATTTTGAGAATTCGTGAGAAATTACTATTATTAGCTAATTTCATTTATTATATGGTATGGTTGCATTAAACAGATATAATATAATATTATAATAAGCGTTGATTTATATATTTATATTTATATATAAATTTAATTAATTAAATTAAATTAAATTTTATATGATAAGATGGATTTTTTCTCTTTTTTTAATTGTACTCTTTTATAATCATTTGAATATTATAATCTCTTATAACTTTGTCTATTTAACAGCAATAAAAAAATTGTTATTATAAATATTTTAAGACCGAAATGGAATGTACCCACACAGCAGAAATGTGTTGAATATATCATAAGGATATCTTGAAGATATCACATATTCCAAATATATTTTTAGGATATCCCTATGATATATTTTAGACACCTCTGCTGTGTGGGTATGGTATTTCGTAGACCTCACCTCACTAGTTAAGGTTTAAATTAATAATAAAAGTACAAAAAATATAATTTTTATTAAAAAATTAAATTATATTATAAAAAAAATTATATTACTGCGTTAATTGCAACATATATAGACAAAATATAAGACGTTTATATCGATCGAAGAAGTGGTATAGTGTCTAAAAATAGGCTGATAATCCAAAAGTGCCGCCTCAGGTCCAAGTTCGAATCCTGTGCTATTGACATCAGTTCTGCGATAAAAAACGTTTGTATACTTCTTGAACTCGTGCAGCCAGTGCAGCACCCTTACCCTAGAAATATCATACTAAGAATCATTGATAATTACTTATTATCCAGTATTTTTAATACTGAAAATAAGTAATTATCAATGATTCTTAGTATGATATTTCTATAAGGGCAATAGAGAACAAACCTAATAATGTAATTCTTATTTCTAGTAGCTAAAGCTGGTAGCGTAAATAATTTAAGTAACAGCTAGACAAAAAATAATGTTTATTTAAAAGATAATATTAAGCAGTAGTTCTTTAGTCTGCATTAGTCAGTAAATAGATATCAAAATAAAAAATTTGTTTATCTCATAGAAATTCGTGCTTTTACACATCAAGGCTACCATATATCTTTAGATTTCTCTAGATTACACTTATTAATTTTATTTTACTATTTGTCAATGATTTCTATTCCTGAGAATATCTTAATATATCACTACTTAATTTAATTCTATTTATATTACATTTGGAAAATTCCGTTACCACTGATGAGATTCAAAAACCTGAAACCTCTTGCTTTTCAATCATCTAACTTATGTTCTACGCTATTGCCACAGGAAAACACCAGTTTCATATTGGATACATATGTTACACTCTCAGCGTAGTTATATATAATTTTCTAATAATATAATTTAATATTACCAGAAAGTAAATAATTTAAATTTTAATTTTCACTCAAGAACTACCTATAATTCTTTACCTACCCAGTGAGAAATGACTCATCGATCGATGTCGATTTGACGATTTCGACGTCGATCGACGAGTCATTTCTTACTAGGTAGTAACTATGTTAATTTTTTTTCGTTTAGTTATGAAAAAGTATATATATGCAACTCCAAGATAGTCACATTGACTAAATTATTTATACTGATAGAAGAACAAAGTTTTATAAATCTACTAAACAACATAAAAGAAAGTTAGGTAATGGTGATGCAATATACAAATTTATTAACTTGTAGTTAGAAAATACAGAGATTTAAATTTTTACTCAGAATAACCATATTTTCTCTTTAAAATTAATTATTAAGTAATAAATTAATATAGGCTACTTAGCCCAAAAAATAATTACTATATGTATTTTGTGTTATATAAAAGCGTCATACAAGCGTCTATAAGTTATGTTAGTTAAGTTATTATTAGGAAGTTATTATATTTATACAGGGTATCTGACTCGTGCTATATCAGAGCTAATATATATTGGGAGTGTGAATAAGTTCTCGCCGTTTCACCATCAGATGACGGTATAAAAATTTTGTGTGTATAATTCAAGATGATGACGCATCTATATTGAAGTTCTATAACCTATGTTTAAAATCAGTGCGTGTCTTTCCATTAACCTATAAAGAACATTTTCTTTTCGTAGCGTAAAACATGTCAAATTTCGTGCCAAGTAAACCGCTTTTGCGGGGAATTTTACTGCACTACTTTATTCAGAAAAAATCTGCAGCTGAACCACACAGAATTCTTGTAGAAACCTATGGTGATTATGCTCTGTCGGAAAGAACATGCAGAGATTGGTTTAACCGATTTAAAAATAGTGATTTTGATGTTCAAGATAGAGAACGCAGTGGTGCACCAAAAAAGTTTCAAGACGAAGAATTGGAAACATTACTTGCTGAAGATCCATGTCAGACGCAATCCGATGTTGCAAAATCATTAGGAGTTGATCGAACAACAGTTTCGAAACGTCTGACAGCATTAGGAATGATACAAAAGGAAGGATCTTGGGTGCCATACGAACTGAAGCCGAGAGACGTCGAACGGCGTCTTGTCACGTGTGAACAGCTGCTTCAACGACAAAAAAGGAAAGGTTTCTTACATCGTATTGTGACTAGTGATGAAAAGTGGATATACTACAGTAATCCCAAGCATAAAAAATCGTGGATTAAGCCCGGCGAAGCAGTAGCATCAACGTCAAAGCGGAATATCCACGGTTCCAAGCTCATGCTCTGCATTTGGTGGGATCAGCTGGGGGTAGTGTATTACGAGCTGCTCCAACCTAACCAAACCATCACAGGAGATTTCTATCGACGACAATTGATGCGTTTGAGCCAAGCATTGAAAGAAAAACGGCCGCAATATGAGCAAAGACACGATAAGATGATTTTGCTGCATGATAACGCTCGGCCGCATGTCGCGTCACCGATCAAAACATACCTGGAAACGCTAAAATGGGAAGTCCTACCCCACCTGCCGTACTCTCCAGACATTGCGCCTTCTGATTACTATTTATTTCGATCGATGACTAACGGCTTGGCTGAGCACTTCACTTCGTATGAAGAAACGAAAAAATGGATTGATTCGTGGATAGCCGCAAAAGAAGTGTCGTTTTTTTGATGTGGAATTCAAATGCTGCCAGAAAGATGGGAAAAAGTAGTCTCCAGCGATGGGCAATACTTTAATTGACTTGTTTTTTTATTATTTTTTTTAAATAAAGGATTTATTTTCACAAAAAACGGCGAGAACTTATTCACACTCCCACTAGAATAGAATCAGTGTCTTTAATGGAATAATGGAATAATGGAATCAGTGTCTTTTTTTAAATAACTACGTAAAATTTCGAATTATTAAATAAAATAGATGGCCTAATCAAACCCCGCAACACGGCAGGCGGGACATACGGCTCGCCGCGGCCGACGAAGAAAATGGACGATTGCTCGCGGGTCTATCTCATAAGCCCAAAGGTGGAGATTACATCTTAGATCTGATACTGCGTGATAGCATCGGCATGACAGGTTAACCAGTCTCCAAACAACAAGGAAAACGCGTTGCCAGGAGGCTGACCCGGTTAGCCTGTCATGCCGATGCTACAGCGCGTACAGCGTTCGTCTCACCGCAGCACACGAGCAGATTGGCCAGTGGGCTGCCGCTCGGTAGAAATCTTTTATCGTTAATATCTCAAAATTTTACATGGTTGTTTAAAAAAAGACATCGATTCTATTACTCACCTCGAACTATTCTAGCTATATATTAGCTATAGTACGGTACGAGTTAGACATCCTGTATATTTTTTTTATGAAATAACATATTTATTTATCATAGTTATTCTTTCATTACATTTATATAATATATATTCATTATAATCATATATTTCATTATAATTATAAATATATTTTTATGAAATAACATAACCTTTCTTTTGGATCAACTAACTAATTTAATATGTTAGCAAGATGGTGGTTAGATTATGTATTTTATAAAAGATAGGGCTATTTCTACTACTCCATTTTATATATAATTACTAAATAGCAGCTAGATCACAAAAACTGGTTATGAGCTAGTAACAAACTAGCTCATAGGAACTAGCACTAGGAAACTTGATGTAGTCAATACTATCTAGCTAGTAGCTTTCAAAATAAATAGGCTAGTTTTATTTCTATTATAGTGTAGTAAATATTTTTTTGTAACTTATACATAAACGTCATATGAATTTGGATCACGGCATTATTTTCTGGAGTAACCCAAAGCAATCGAAGTCTTTTTTTCCACAATGAAATGATAATTTTTAATGCCTTAAACGTCGAAAATACTCATGGTCGCGCAAATATATAAGCGGTTTAAACTGCCCAGATTAAAAAAATAATGTTCGTTATCAATTCTTATTAAATTTATACAATTAAACTGTAAATAATTAGTCTGACAGATAAGATGTCGCTGTTTTCCGTCATAGTTTCCGCGTGCTCGTCTAGAGACTATCCAGTACTCAATATTTGTCCTTGGTAAATTGTAACTCACTTTCTATCTTCTTTATCTCGGAAGAATTCCTTGACAGTGACACAGACTACGTTGAACTCTGTCGTCAACCCGGCGTGATACCACATGCTGTTTCATAACATCATAGGAGTCCATGTAGAGATATTCAAATCGACTACTGCTATAATTAGCATTTTATTCGACGAGTCACGGACATCGTGCACAAGCATTCGTAACAGCACTGGGGATATTTCGCTGTGTTCACATCGTCAGTGAGTGCAAGATGAGTGTCTTCGTGGCGTTAACGAAATTTTCATCCAGCATGGTGTCCGCAGCAGCAGGTAAAACAATTTGTTTTTCTAGTATAAATTATATTAAATATTAATCCAGTAAGCAAGGAACATTAAATTAACGTTTAGAAACGTTGACTTCATATACATTGTTTGGACATTTTTTAATAATATTGCATTTATATTTTTCACATGTTATTTTGCGATATGATTTTTCTGAATGTTGTTTAAACGTTTTAGAAACATTACAAAAAATATATTTTTCAAATGTTACTTTAACATTTATTTGAGATCGATGCAACATCTTAAAAATATTTCTGACAATTAAAACGTTATGGCAACTCTATTTCAACATTATTGAAACTTCCAAATCGCGGTCAACGTATGTTCATAATGATGTTCGATACAATATTAAACACTATATATTTGACAATATTACAGGTTCTTGAATATCATTTAGTAACATTGTATTAATGATTTCTTGCTTACTGCAAGAATTTTGATCTTTCTCCCATGGGCTTCTCTTTTCATAAATAAAATTATAACGTTGTTCGAACGAAAAATACAAGAATATTCAACAATCATTTGAACCTCTATATACCTTCATATCAAATAAATATTTTAAAATAGAGTTTGACACGCATTATACATTTCGACCGTTTTTTAACTTGCTTTTAACTTAATTTTATTTTCCTTATCTTATCGCTTCACACGCAATCTACGAACCGCTTGTAGACTTAGAAGCGTGTAACTTATAAACATATGTTTCCACAGTAGCTTTTCACTATTAGAAACAAGTTTACAAGTTATACGCTCCTGAGATTTAAGCGGCTCGTTAGTCGCACGCGGGACAATGAGATAAGGGGATAGCACTAGGCGGAGCAAGTAAAAAATCGGTTTAAACGTGCATATCGAGCTCTGCTCGGATTGATATTAATATCAATCGGCAAATTCTACAATATTATTATGAAGATACCAATAAATGCTTATTTATAAGCGTCGTAGTGCAATAAAAATATAATTAATATACTGTACTTTACAAACAAATTAATATAATCGTTAGCTTAAACATTTCTCGAGATCTCAGCAAGTCCAAAACAAAACAACGATCATATTAGCTTGTCGGTAAAGAATAGTACATTAATTAATTTTTTATTACACTATAATGCTTGTGTATAAAATTTATCTTTTCCTCTCCGTTTTTTATTATACATCAACATATCATATTTTATTGTAGTAATTGTTTTGGCGAGGACAACACTTAATATATTAATATATTAATATATTATTAACGAATATCATGAGCAAAAATATTCTGTTTTTCTCGATTCGAAAATCAGCAAAGCACATCTACTTAATATTATAGTGTGCGTACGGTGTGCGCAGAGAATTTTTGGGGCACTGAAAAAAAAACAGTTGAATCGATAAAATCGGTCACCTGCTTTTAAAGAAATATTGCATCTATTGAACAAATTACGCATTAGTACAATAAATTTTGTTAATATAGTTATTGAACAAATCGCGATCAGTAAATCAATTAATAATTCTCATCATACCCAGATAGCACCAATGTCCAAAATCGGGATATAAGATTTCCTTAAAAAGATTTTTAAGTCATATTTAAGACGTCAAGATATAAAATTTCTTTAAGACGACTTAAAGACGATTTATGTCTTTAGTCTTTTAGTGATGATTGTACTGTCTGGGTAGGAGTTATATAATTCGTTCAATCAACGAAACGTTTGCTTGAAACTCGTTCTAACTATATTCGTTCGAGCAAAGTCTTATTAACCCATTAAAACCCATGGCTAGATCAGTAAGATTAGCAAAAAACAACAATTGTAAATAGGACGAATGAGAAAACATATTCGACAATCGATTCTACAGAAAAAATTATATAAAAAACATGTATCATTTTTGCTCGTAATGTCCTTCGTTTATTAAAAAATAAGCATTACTGTTTATTGAAAGTCGCTCCAGCCCAAGACTAGACCAATAAGATTAGCAAAAAATAATTGCAAATAGGACCGCAGCATGAAAAATTATATTGGACATAAAAAGTACATTACAAAAATCAATTTTACAAACATTTGTTTGCAGCAATTTATTTAGTTTTTGGTAATCTTATTGGTCTAATCATGGGTTTTAATGAGTTAACTCAACTACTTTTTTTCGGTGTAAAAGTAATAAGGCACTCTTTTAGAGGTCTCGTTCGTAAAATTGGTGTTAACCCGTTTCGTCCTGAAATTGTATAAAATTTATCTATTATTTATCATTGTAAATATTAAATCATGAGCGAGTTTAGCCAAAGTTGGTATACTATAGGTTCTGAGTGTGTTCTTTCAAAAGCTGACCTTCTTTTTTTTGCTATCATCAATATGAAATCCAATATGACGGCTTAAAGTTGGAGAAATCGAAAAAATCATCGATCCTTTTTGTTTTAAACGCCATTTCGATAAGGAATTTGTGGACCTGGCTAATTGTGTATATTTGGTGGCATATATGCCTGTACTTTAAGATATTTCTTCACGGCATTTAAATTTTTGTTTTTCATGAAAAATAGTGCTGTTTTTCACAAAATTTTGTTTTGTAGATTTTCTATAGTTTCTTAGTATATGACTAAAAATAACGGTCATAATATTTACCAGGATTATAATATCAGCATCAGTGAATGTTACTGGATGAGTATCAATCGTAATGAGTGTCAACCAAACCTCAAAATATCACAAAAACACTGTTTTTTTTACAAATTTCGTGGTTACATTATTAAATTTTTTGTTTTCTATGTATTAATTATTGTTTTTGTGCCTTTTATTACTATTCCCATAAATTTCCATTTTATATATTCATTTATTCATTTATGTATTCTCTCATAGAATGCATAATATATGTACATGTAAACAATAATGAAGTCTAATATCAATAATATTTACTCAGAGAACAAAACAATTTTGAATTATGAGAACGAAATTTATAAAAGGAGAGTTCTTGTGATATTTTGAATTTAAGTCGGTATCATGACTTAAATTCAAAATTCTAAACTTTTCCAGTAACTTTCCCTGATATTATAATCCTGATAAATGTTATGGCCAAGACTCAAAATATCATACAATATGATTTATACTGTCATACAATATATATAAGATAACATTAAACATTTGTATGATTATTTATATTGCATATATGCAAAAAATAAAATAATAAATTTATAATAGTTTGGCGTTTGTTAGTTACTTATATTATGTTATCCAATTTTCATCCGCATAGTCGGTATTTTATCTGACAAAATATTGAAATAGAGCAAATATTTTTCAGTTGAGAAAAAATATACTACATAAACTTTACATTATTATAATCTATCCCACGTTGTATGTACATTTATAATAAATTCTCACGAACAAGTTATTTTATAAATTAACTATAGCGACTTACATTGTCTATACGTGAGAAATACGCGGTATCACGATGACTATTGTGGGGAAATGATGGGGTTTGGCAGGTTTTCTCAAACCACACACAGAGTAACGAAATATATATCCTTTATTTAAACCAAGTTGCTCGCTAGCTGGTCAAGACTGAACTGCAGCTTTCGCGCCCGACGCCGAATAATATAAATATGAGATAAACAAAAGCCGCGCGCTAGTCTCTAGCGCGGTACTCTTTCAGGTCTAGATCTAACGCGCCGCATCACGGCATTCGGTCTTTAGCGGCATATTTTTAACAGACGCGATATCCTAACTCCTACACTATTTCGCTCGCTCGAACGCATAGGTTTGTTTAAAATTAAAACGTAACTCGCGTAATTTTTCTGAACATATATTAGTTTGATGTTTTATATTATTATAGGTCATAAATAATTCATTCAAAATATAAAATAGAAAAGTTAGTAAAACTTGTATACATAAATGATATTTTAGTTTATTAGATCCTAAAGCCAAAAATAAAGAACTAATATAATAATTCATTTGAATTTCGCTGTAGATATATAATTATATTTCCTTGAGATAAACTGTACCTATTTTTTATAATAATGCTTAAACGTAGATTTTTTTATTTTCGGCAAGACATCGAAAAACACAGAATTAGATCTGGAGACTGAGGATCCTGAGTGTGATAAAAATGGTGTTGACGTCTTCATACCCAATCCAGACGATTCAGGAGAATCTAACGATGAGTTTGATATTGAAAATCTTGATAACTGTGAAGACTATTGTTTTCCAAATGTTTCATATAGAAATATTTACGATAACTATATTAAAGGCCAAAAAAATTAGAGCCTGATCATGTTTATGAATGAAAAGACGGAGAAAAATTGTGCTCCAGAAATTTAGAAGATGTCGTATTATTACCAGACGATGTAAAAACAAAAGTCCGAAACATTAAGCCAGTTAAATTGTTTGAGTTCTTTTTCTCAAATGAATTGAAACAATATATAATAAACGTCACCAAGAAAAATGGCTTACATTTATCTCTCAACGATTTCGACACAGTTTTAAGCATATTACTTTTAAGCATATTACTTCGTACAACATCAAGACAGATCAAAAAGAGTATTGGTCTAACGATCCCAAACTGAACAGTACCAGTGTAAAGAACGCGATGAGTCGAGATGAATTTTTGCAAATAAAATCCAAGTTGAAGTATTGTAAGGTAAATGACCGAAATTATTATAATAGAGCATGGAGAATCTGTCAGATTATTAATATTTCTAGAAAAAATATATAACAATTTAGTAAAATTTTTCGGAAGAATAGTTTTAAAACAATTTATTCGGCTAAAACCTATACAATTTGGAATAAAAATATGAGCTATATGTACTGCTTTCGTATTTCTGTTGGATTTTGACATTTATTGTGGGAAAAATAGCTACGTGATTGATGAAAAATTGAGTCCATGTGTTTTTGGCTCCAGAATGGTTTTATAAATGCTGAATCAGCTTTTGATGACATTTTCTGCAAGGAAATTATCTCAGTATCACATTTATTTCGATAATTTGTTTACAAGACTTGGTAACACATTTGAAGAAGATAGGCTTACAATCAACGGGAACAGTGCAGAAATATAGAATGCAAAGCAGATAAACATTCATTTTACAAAACAGCTGTTAGAGGAGATTACAAAGTAACTACGAGAAAAATAGTGGTATAAATTACGTGAGTGTACTGGACTCGAAGGAAGTGTCTTTATTGTCAACTGCTGCTAGTGTTACTCCATTGTCTATGATGCAGAGATTTTCTAAGAAAGAAAATAAAAAATGTGATCTCGAATTTCCTAATGTTGTATCAATCTACAATAAATACATGGGAGGTGTAGATCTCCACGATTTTCGAATTACACCGAGCATAAGATCTAAAAAATGGACATGGGTTGTATTTATCCGACTGATACAATCTTCAATTACAAACGCTACAGTATTATGGAATATATGCTGCGATGAAAATAAAAAATTGAGTACTAAGGATTTTGCAATTTCCAGTAGCGATCATTATTTCAGTAAAAATAAGCGTCAAGATTTTCATCTACATAATAGTGAGACAAAAATTAGAGGTATACGTTCATACGCTAGTTGTACTATAAGAACAACTAAGTTTTGTACTGATTGCAATTCACATTATTGCGTATCGTGCTTCCAGCAAGTTTACAATTCCCAAAAACAATAAGTAGTTTGGTAAAGTACAGAATTACTATAATTATCTACTGAATATGTTTAAAAAAATTGAAAAAACACAAAAAAGTAAAAAAACATAAAAAATTTTTAAATTTTAAAATATAAAAAATATAAAAATATAAAAAATATAAAAATATAAAAAATATAAAAATATAAAAAATAAAAAAATATATAGAAAATATAAAAACAAAATGACAGTTGTCACATACTAAGAAATAATAGAAAACTGGCAAAAAACGAAATTTTGTGAATAAACAGCGCCATCTTTTATGAAAAACAAAAATTTTATTTTTGTGAAGAAATATCTTAAAGTGGCTCATGATTTAATATAAAATTTACAGCGATGAACAACAGATAAAATTTATGCTATTTCAGGACGAAACGGGTTAAAGAACCTTAAAGGAGATTAAAAAAGTAGATAAATATTCATTTTAACGGGCACATCTCCTACAATCTGAACTTTGATATATGTTTATGAGGACATTTTCTAATTTCCAAAAGGTTTCAACCATCGAATTTTATTTATTAAAAAGTTATTAACAAAACAAGCTTTATTAATAAAACATAGATTTCCGTTACCTTGTACGTTTTAGAAGTAGAAAAAAATAAATTTAGAAACGTTTTAATAATTATTAAATAAAAATTATAATCTTTAGGAGGTTTTAGAAATATTCTTTTTTATATTTTTTAAATATTTTTTTATATATTTTTTATTATATTTTTTTGTGTGTACTGTTTAACTTCCGTTTACTAAATTGATGATTCTATTATATATGAAAATAATATATCCTGAAAAAATTAGCAAAGGTATGTAAGGTTTCAGATTAAATATGCAATTAAATATAAGAAAGTATATAAGAAAATATATATATAACAAAATATGTTTTAGTGATAAGATGCTTAGGTACAAATTTTGACCTCTCTCAAGCAGGACCAAATGAGCAGAATCGAATGGGACCTATTGCATTTTTTTAGTATTCATTTTGTACTATTTTGTACCACAAAAAAAATTTGTACCACGTGCCGTTTTAAAAAAAAATGGTGGCGCTGCTAACTTGATATCAAGTTAGCAGGACAAAAAAAAATAAAAAAAATAAATAAACCATGGTACACACAATTAGTACTGAATTTGTACTAATTTGTACCATTCGAAATAAATTGAAAATTTTATATTTTCCCCTTTAAACAACCCCTCCCTTATCTAAACCTAGTATAAAGATAGCAGGATCACGATTTTTTCACTTTTTCTTGATGACACAAATTAATACAAATTCAAAGACGATAAAATCTATCATTTCTTGTTAGTTTTTATTTTGTTCCCTTTATATTAAGTTAGCAGGACCACAATATTTTTTTAAATAGTACGGGGTTCAAAATTATTTTTTATGGTACAAAATAGTACACAATGAGTAATAAAAAACGCAATAAATATAATTTAATTCTATCGATTTAATTCTTAATAATCGAAAGAGAGAAATTTTATTTTTGAGGTTGGTTAAATGTGAGGTTGTTTTAAGGGGTATTTACAGAAATATTTGCATACTTTTTTCGGTGGTACAAATTAGTACAAATTCAGAAACGATAAAATCTATTGCAACTTGCCGTTTTTCAATGATATTTACTCTTCTTAAAATTAAGTCAGCAGGACCACAATTTTTTATAAATAAAACAAGGTACAAAAGCATTTTTAATGGTACAAAATACTACACAATAAGTACTGAAAAATGCAATAAATTTGATTTGATTTTACTGATTTAATTCTTAATAATCGAAGCAGAAAGCTTTATTCTTAAAGCTGAGGTCAAAGTTGAGGTTATTTTAAAGGGTCGGCAGAAATATTTTTGATACCTTTTTTGGTGGTACAAATTGGTACAAATTCTGAAACGACAAAATCTACTATTTGTTTCGTTTTTTTAACAATTTTTATTTTGCTGATTTTATATTAAGTCAGTAGGACCACGATTTCTCTTAAAGGATATGGAATATAAAATTGTTTTTAATGGTACAAAATTACATTAATCGTGTAGTATTTTGTATTACCAAAAATGATTTTGTACCTTGTTTTATTTAAAAAAATATTGTGGTCCTGCTGACTTAGTATAAAGAGAACAAAATGAAAACTGACAAGAAATGATAGATTTTATCGTTTTTGAATTTGTACTAATTTGTACCATCAAGAAAAAGTGAAAAAATCGTGATCCTGCTATCTTTATATTAGGTTTAAATAAGGGAGAGGTTGTTTAAAGGGGAAAATATAAAATTTTCGATTTATTTCGAATGGTACAAATTAGTACAAATTCAGTACTAATTGTGTGTACCATGGTTTATTTATTTTTTTTATTTTTTTTGGTCCTGCTAACTTGATATAAAAAATAACTTGATATCATAAATTTTTTTTTGTGATACAAAATAGTACAAAATGAATACTAAAAAATGCGATAGGTCCCATTCGATTCTGCCCATTTGGTCCTGCTGGCTTGAAAGAGGTCAAATTTTGCGTAGAGGCTATCGCTAATTTTTTCAGGACTTATTATTTTAATATATAATAGACTTATCAATTTTATAAGGCAAAAGATTTAAAGTAATATATTTATACATTAAAATTTTTGTAAATACGCAAAATACATTTATATTTTTAAATTTTAATAATTAATATTTTTTTCATAAACAAGAACTGACAGCTAAAACTTTTTAAAAATTACTCTGGAAAATATCATTAACCTTTAGACTGTCGGGAAAGCCACAAAAGTGGCTTTATAGCCACAAAAGTGGCTTTATAGCCACAAAAGTGGCTTTCCCGGCAGTCTAAAGGTTAAAAACATACATCAAGATCAAAATTATTGGAGCTGTGTAAAAGAAATAATTACTAAAAACTTTTAAGAAACTTTATTGTTGATTAAAAAATTAGAATTACTAATTTTAATCTCGTTAATTTCAATTGATAATATTGTAAAAGCAATTAACTCTTTTTACATGCGCGCGTGCACTACTGAAGATCGTAAATATAATTTTATCAATTTTAATTTATTAAAATTTTACTCAATAACAATGAAGACATTTTATTAAATGTAGATTATTACTTTATTAAAAATGTAATTTGCAGGCAGAATATAGAAATATATGTAATAGTTACATTTCTTAACTAAAATATCTCACAGCCCTTTAACACCGAGAGGCCGCTGTGCGATGTACCTGCTGCATCCCTCATTTGCAGATCCTTCTGAATGCGTATGTATAAGTGTTTCATGATTTTTTATTTAGGTGCAAGATGTTACTCACAAATTGGCTTCGTCGGATTGGGCAACATGGGCAGTCATATGGCAAAAAATCTATTGACGAAGGTAAAACGACAACTCGAACTTTCTGCTAATCAGCGGATTACTCGCGCACACTCGGCACACATTCAACGACATTATTCGCACGTATAACTCACCTAATCTTTCTGTTGTTAGGGTTACAAGCTCACCGTGTACGACGTTAACAAATCGGCAACGACGAGCTTGGTAGAAGCGGGTGCGAGTGTTGCGTCGAGCGCCGCTGATCTGTCGAAGGAAGTCGAGGTTGTTATTTCGATGTTGCCTTCGAACCAACATGTACTTGACGTCTACACCGGCCAGAAAGGTATATTAAGGTAAAACTCATTCCATTATTGATCCTGTAATTTTGATTTTCTTTTATTATTGAATTATCAGAAACGTCGAGTAATATTATTAATTAAATATCTTAAAAATCTAACTAATCAATTTCATTTTTATAAATATTTTGATTTTAAAATCAGAACACACGATTAGTGTCCAACTTGTTAAAATTAAGGAATTTACGAAAAATAAAACTGATCAATTAGGCTCAATTCTTGCGCGTAGTCAGTCTCACTGACAAGGAAACCCATACAAGTGTCCGCCTCCGATTTTCATAAACTTATAATATATTGTACTTTAGATCAAAATAACAGATATATTTTTTATTATATGTACCCTTTCGCAAGTTTAGGGGGGTGAAATATCCTTTTGAAGAAAATTGTTTTTTTTTCATTCGAAGGAAATATAATGGAAATTATAAGAGATAGAAAAAAAATATTTTGAATAAAAATTGAATGGTTTGAAAAGTACTTTACAGGAATTATTTGAAAAAAGAAAAAATTCTTTTTGTTAATATTTTCCCATCACTTATTATTATAATTATTAAATTAATTTCTGTAAAATACTCTTCAAACCATTCAACTTTTATCTAAAATATTTTTTCTATCTCTTATAGTTTTCATTATATTCCCTTCGAATGAAAAAAACCGATTTTCTTCAAAGGAATATTTCACCCTCCTAAACTTGTAAAAGGACACATAATAAAAAACGTATCTGTTATTTTGATCTAAAGTACAACATATTACAAGTTCATGAAAATCGGAGACGGACACTTGTATGGGTTTCTTTGTAAGTCTCTTTGGTTTCCACTCTCCGATGAAATATTATTACTCGAACAGCACACAGATATCCGAAAAATATCCTACAAAATATCCTACAAAATATCCTACAAAATATCCTACAAATATCCTTTAAAGATATTAAGTATATCCATAAGATATTTATTTTATGATCTTCAAACATATAACGGACGTCCATAACATATTCAAATATGAATTTGGTGGACATGGTTTATCCCTGATATATCCGTGTTAAGGATAAACAGATATATGTTGAACGTCGATTGAACATAAATTAGCAATTATGGATATACAAAACAAACTTCATATGGAAATGAAGTAAATATATGAAATAAATATCATAAAGAGAGATTACAGCCGAAATTTTTATTTATATTAGAAATATGAGAGAAAGAGAAAAATATTTATCTTAAAATAATATATTTATTTAAAAAAATTTAAATATTACATACATTTCTACTTTAATTTAAACAGACTTTTTAATTACTTTAAATTATCCTATATATTTAATTTATTATATTATTATTAATTTTAATACTACATAAGTATATATTTTTTAACAGCACAGGAGATTTATAATTTAAAAAATATACTTATTAAACAAACTAAGATACATATAATGATATTAATTATTCGATGGTATATATTTATTGTATTCTCACTAAAAAAGACTTAGAAGAAGCTGACAATTTATTTGTATATGTGTGTGTATGTGTATATGGAAGTCTATATGGAAAAAAAACAAGTTTACGCAGTTTTATACACATGTCATGCTACAATTAGCAATTTTTAAAAGAAGATATTGGATATGGTTTTCATATTAAAAAACATAATGTTGAAACTTGAAATACGTTATATTTTAATTACAATAACCAATAAACTTACTAGCTCTTACAGAAAAACAGTATGTTAATTCGCTATTGACAAGTGATTTGATTGAAAATAATTTGTTTATTTTATTAAGTCATTCCCCTTGTTGCGCCTTTCCTTTTGGCTAAAATCGGATATTTTTCTTTAATTGCTTTAAATTATTTAATTGTTGATGATACTTATCGGAATTGATCGTTTCGCCAACCGGTAGTAGCTCATATATTCTACATTTCACATAAATTTATCGACAAATTCATTGACAAGAATTTACTAAATATCGAAATTCTCTATTACACCAAATTCCATGAGACCAATGATTTTTAGCATTGGATCGATCCTTTCGGTCATTGTTGATTTTGTCTTCTAGTGCAGCGAAGGAAAACGTTTTGTTGATCGACAGCAGCACTGTGGACCCATCCGTGTCTCAATCGATCGCTGCGAAGGCTCGACGACTTAATCTGAGGTTTATCGATAGTCCTGTGTCAGGAGGTATACGCACATTATTAATAAAAAATTAATAGAATACTTAACTCTTTAAGATTTAGTATATTTATTGTATGTTCTATATTGTATGTTCTATGTAACAATAGGTCTGTTTTTTTTAGCTAATCTGCCTGACCTGGTAAAATAAGTGAAATAAAAGTTACAAAATATACTTGTTCATTCTAATTTATTACATCAGTGTGCACCAGTTCAGATAATTTAGCTAAAAAGAATAAACCTATTGTTACATTATAGATGGCGTTTAAATAAATGGTCACGTTCAGCGAAGAAAACTGCTCCGCTACCGCTCCGTAACAAACGTCTCTGATTGATACATCTCTCCAGTCAAAGGTTTAAAAGAATACTCCGATTATGAACATTCGCTACGGAGTGGTTGCGAAACAGTTTTCTCCGCTGAACGTGACCAATAATTGTTTAATGATGTAAAACACATAAATTTCAAACGATAATAATCCATTTAGTGGTAGTAAAATAACTCTTTTCTTCGATATAATCTCATATTAATTTGTCAACGATAGCAAGCAAATTATCGATGTTTCTTAAAAGAACAATTACCGAATTATGGTAGATGGATTTAGCCCTACGTCAGAAATGTGTTCGAGGTATCCGGGAAAAAAAGTTTATAGATTCTGTCCATGTATGGCCATATATAATTATATATATTCACATTAAAAAGTTGCTTTTATGAAAATATCATTAGAGTAAATACTTATGTTTGTAGTAACTCATGATGTCGATGTTTAAGTGAATCAAATTATTTAAAAATTTTCCTTGTTTTATTCAACATTATATTTGTTTTATAGAATATTATATTTGTTTTATATATACATATAATTATTTTATTGACACATTTTATATGACACATATAATTACATATGGTATGATATGATCATATGTAAGGCCAAAATTCATATAT